AAAATAAACACAACAGAAAATGATTAATTATCATGTGTTTGTTCTTCACTTTATTTGTTCTTTCACTTTTTTTTTTCTTCGTTTTCTTTAGCTCTTCATCGAATAAAAAAAGATCAGCATCTCAAAAAATCCATTTGTTCATCAATTTTTTTGGTCGTAGGAGCAGCTCTCACTTTATGCATTTCTATATCATCCCGTTCATTACACCGGTCTTAATGTGCTTGATAATAGTATGGTTCCGAGTTTTTCGGTCAATTTGAACGATTTAATGCTTTCATTTTTGCTTAGCACACAATGTTGAGTGTATGAAAAGAAATGCGATAAAATTTGGACAAAATCTAGATGTTGTATGAAGAAAAAGCGTAAATATCAAAACCAGATGACTTCAATCATCTGGCCTGACATCGACATTTCAAGTAAATAAAAAAATTGAGAAATTAGTACTCGGCTCAAGTTAATCTTCATTTTGTTGGGATAATATTTTCTTTTGTACGCATGGTGCGACATGTAAGTGCATCAAAGAAATTCTAAGAATAATCGTGTCACTTGGCACGCCATCATTTTGCTGCGTTTGACTTACAGCTGATTGATATCATTTGGTAATTTGTATTAATTTACGCCAAGCGCCAAACGGTTCACATTTGAAAATCACAAGTTTCGAACACACAAGACGAGCGGTCGAAGACCATAAAATGACTATGCTATGCGGCTCTTTGACGAATTTTACACTATATAAAAAAATCTGTTAATTAAGTATTTTATGGTGAAATGTTTGCAAAAAACTCAAACCACACACATCGTTTTGAAACGAATTCTTTAATGAATATGGTCACAAAAATAAATAAAGTCATTTGGTTGCGTTATTTGCGTCATTTTATTTCCTTTTTAATTTACCGACGCTGAGAATGAAATGAAGAAAAAAAAACAGCGAGTCCATGACATTTTCTCGCTCGAAATGCGACAACTCTTTCGTCAGACATTTCGGTTCAACTCTATGAAATCGGTTATCAGATATCCTTGACTTCATATAATGATTTCATTTCGTTGAAATGCAAACACACATATTTCTGCAAAACAGAAAAAAAAACGCGATAGAAAAATGTATCTTCTGCTGCAATTAGTTTCTTATTACGCGAATATTTCAAAGAACTTTTGTCAGATCAACGAAAACCGTTACATTTCAAAATAAATCGTGCAGTCATGCTGGCACATTGAGCGTCAAAAGCGATGGTAATCTAAGCGTTTCTATTTAATTAACATTAACAACTCAACGGCACATTCTTTTTGCTTCTAGGAAGCATTCGCTTACATAGATTCGCAGCCAAATATGAAAAATACACAATTTTAACTCGCATTTTACGAATACGAGTATGTGAATTTGGTTGATTATCAAGTTTCCACAGAAATTAGATGAAAATATGATACGAACGAATGGCCATTGTCTGCATGAAATTTCATGTTTGGTATGTGATCAAAACAAATCAGTGAGAAAAGCATGGCAACATAACAACACACTTATATGTGCTAAGAAGAGATTTGTACATTTGATATTCTTGGCTGTGTGTCATTGTATGAGTTTTATTTTTCATTTTTAGCACATATTTGTCCGAACAAACACGTTTGCCATCTCGAAATCGTAGACACAGAGACTGATGTAAATGGGAGTGAAAACATGTGGACAAAATGAAAATACAAAATGATGTCATTTTTTTCACAGTAAAATTGTGAGAATTTGTGCCAGATCAGCGTGTTGCATTGCAAACGAGAAAATGGTATTCAAGTATCATCTCCTTGGCGACTTATTTATGGCTAATTGCATTGGCTCTTACGGTTTCGGTTGATATCAAAAATCCAATAGTGGATGAACAGAATGACCAAACAGATTAGATTTCAGTTTTTCGTGAATAACAACTTGCAAAAAGCCACAATAGTTACACAAAATATGCTGAGCAACCGTCTTTCCTATCATATGAATCTCATTCGTTTACATATTGACGAGAAAACAATACGCAATAAACGGGCACATGGCACTTATACGTGGACAATGACTTAGGACCTGATTCATTTTGGTTGAATTGTTAATACATTTGGCTGATGCGAAAAAGGCACGAAAAGTAAAATTGATTTCGTGATTTCGTACAAAATAAAATAAAAATATATTTGAATGCTTGGGACAAGCTTTAGATAATTATCCAAAGTGAAACTTTGTGAAGGTTCAAACAAACAACATCGATGGATTAGACAATTCACTGAACCAAATAAAATGAAATTGGTATTTTGCAAATGCGTTACGCAAAAATCGGAGACGTTGATTGATATGGAGACGAGGAGATAAAACATTGTATGGAAATGCGTTGTTTAACGTTCCTCTCGGCGACCTTATGAACTTATGAAAATTGGATTGAATCGTGAAATATCTGTTGTGCCCTCTAAAAAAGAAAAAGATTTTACTGTTTTCTGAAGATGTAGTAAATGATTTATGTTGCTTCGCAATGTGTTCGCTTGGCATTGGATCTAGGCTGAGTTTTTTTTCTTCTCTTTTTACCATGTCGTCAATATAACTGGGTACCAGCTACCAGCACGAAAGCGATTGTAACACATTACTCAATCGAATTCGAAGGAATTTAATCAAGATTAAATTTAGCGATAAAATGTTACTTTCGTACTAAACCGAACCGAATGGATTCATTAAAATGAAATGCCATCAAATTTGTATGAATTTGTTTCGGTTTGATGCGCTTTTCTCGCTTTATCATTTGAGATTTGCATGGCATTTTATCTCATTCATTGCCTCATTGCCATTCAGTCAGATTTATACATGCTTGCGGCCATTTACTTATCTCACCGTCGTTTATTTGATAACCGTTTTTCTCCATTCAAACCAATTGAATTTTCCAACCAAAACGAAAACTCATTTAAAATTAGTGTCAGACTGGCATTTAATCAAAATCACTGCAAACGTATAGATCTCATTCAAAATAAAGACTTTTCATTTTCGTTGAGCGAAAATGGTCAATTTGTTGCCATCCGAAAACAAGAAAAGTTTGTGAAAGGCATCTCCTTGTCACCGTTAACGCCAGTCATTTTTCATCGTCTTCTTTTACCCAATGCCATTGCCATTGCCATTGCCATTGCCGATGCCGGTGCCATTGGTGATTCCACATTCCGATTATATTTATCAAACATTTCCACAATACACAGTTGACTAGAATGAGAGCGATCTATTTCGTTTTTGTCACACAAATTCGTGTAATCATTTGAATTTCAAATGAAAGGCACAACGCACACGCATCACAAGTTTCCTCAAAACTATGACAATGTGAATGCGTCTTGGGGCGTATAACGAACACGCTCCACTTAATATTTATACAGAAGAAACTGCACGACCAAATGAATCTGTCGTGTACAACAGCAACTAATATGAATTACATTCTCGTTTCTCAGTTATGTTGAATGGAATAATTATTATTAATTGAATTTCAAATGGTTTGTTATTAGTTGTACAAGTGATGCAGCCGACATGAACAGCAACAGCGTCGGTAGCGGCACCAACGGCGACAGCATCATACAACAACAGCTCAAACGAATAACCGCCCGAAATGCGGTATCAACGTGCCGACACATGCAATTTGGGCTCATTGTTTCCATTTGGCTTTCGTTTCGGTTGGAATTTATTACTCAACTGTTCACATCAAGCAGTCATTTATCAAAAAAATTTGACGATGTCTTTTTGCTTGTTTGCCCCACTCATCAACCAAATGATCGTCTGCTTTTGATGCGACGAGAAAAATGAATATTTTATTTCTGGCTTCAACACATTTCGCGCTATTTTCGTCACACGGTTTCTAAATGATGAGCAATCCAACTAATGGAACAATCACAAGAAAAAAAACGTTCATTTGATACAGTTAACCAGCAACCATTTAGAAAAATGTGCAGATTTCGGCTTGACAAGAAAGAGAAAAAGTCGTATAATCAATTTGATTTTTTTGGAAAACCAAAAAAAAAACTCATTCAAACAGTTGCGTCGATTGTATGTATAAATGCATTACCGTTATTCAATGTATTTCTCCAATCACGGCGTAATCATATGAGTTTTTTGTAATAAACTCTTTTTATTCTCAATTAAATCTGAATTTATGGTCGCATTGAAAGCGTCAACAAGACGACAAACAAAATAATGTCCATTGAAATCGAGCACAGTAATTGAGCCGCAAGTCGAAGCAAAAGCAAATTAATTAACTCACTAGTTTTATTATTAATTTATGAAAGTTTCAAGTGTCTGGTAACAATCATTCTTCGTTGCATTGCTTCAAATAGCCAACAACGAGCTCTATAAGAAAAGTGGTGAAAAGTCAATATTATTGTATAGTCTTCATACTTCATAACTTCATACCCACATCATCGAGCTGTGTTGACATTTTTCTCGCTTTTATTCGTCCGTCCGTCCGTTTGTTCTTCATTGCATGACATATACACAAGATAAAATACATTGTAGAGCCGTCGGCATGCATATCGATAAAATGAATATGAGAAAGTATATGACGGCATTCTACATTCAAATTGTTGACAAAAACAACAACGCGACAACAATCTACATCTACATACTGTAGAAGAATCAGAAAATCTGTCGGACATACGAAACAAGCCTGAAAATTTAATTAAAATGAATTGTAGGTTTCACTCTTGTTTCTCTTCTGCTCTCTTTTGTCATCCTTCACACGCATTTCGTTGATGATTTATGACGTACATATAGTGTAGATTTTTACGTAAAAAACGAGAGAGAGAGAGAGAGAGAGAGAGAGAGAGAGAGAGAGAGAGAAACAACAAATGTCATGTGACATCAATCGTCCATTATCTCATGATGACCCTTAAAAAGTTCGATTCGTTTTTTGTACTGTCTATATTCATAATTATTATTTGAGCCAAGTCTCAAGAGTTTAACACACATATTCACATAATTAATTAATGTCATTCCTTTATTTTCTATCTGCTTTCAGATAAGCGAAAACAATTAATTTTTGGCTTTATTAACCGAATTAAGTACCGAATTGTATACGAAAATTATCAACATGGAAAGAATGGCAACCTCTCATCGACGTACCATGAACAACAACAACATTGTTCAAGTACACACAAACTTTAAATCGAAACAAAATCACCATCACCATACACAGCAACAGCAACAACACCACCAACAACACCACCAGAGACATGATGACTTGGCAAATGCACTGTGTGGAGGAGCAAATTGTCGTTATTACTATGATTCGTCATCTCCGACATTCCCCGATTTGACGCCTCCATGCGACATGCCGACACCACACAAATCACTCGGCCGAAAAATGCCAACGCATCATCAATTTGTTGACGATCCGGATACTATTGAATTTTGTGTGGATGATGAAACAGCGTGTGCGAAATATTACAAAGACACCGGTCGACAAAAGCGACATAAAACATACGACCCACAAGTGAGATGGTCACGAAATAACATTGCTGTGACAATGGAAAGATTCCAACCGATTGTATCGCCTTCATCAGCATCAGAAAGCTCATCGTGCACGAGCCATACAAGTCATAACAGTCACAACAGTCATCAGGACTATGCATATGCGTATTATGAACCGGGCGCCATAATGTGTCACTCAAATATACCAACGCCCGAAGAAATAGCCGGACCATCATCAATGCCACCGCCAAATTCAATGCGTGCATTGCTCATGAAATGTAAAGAACGAAGTCTACGGACATCTCCGGCCAATAGACATGCAAATCACAGTCGATATGGTACGCATGAAAATATTTACGAGGATGTTTCTGAGGATAAAGATGGTCGGCTTGTTTCGTCGGCACAATCGTTAAACAACGATCGTGGCTGTACGAAAAAAGAGTTTCAACATATTTTAAACAATCATTACCGTGTTTTGGAAGAATTGAATTTGTCCGTTGAAGAACTGTTGATGTCGTCAAGTCCACCACCAGAACCAGCACCTTTGATGATAAAACGAGCACCGACCGTGCAGTCATGTGTTGTTGATACACTGGGAACGCAGCTGACATCATTGGACCTGAAAGATGATTTAAATGTAGGTGAAATCGTTATCGGTGAAGATAGCGGATTCAGCGGTAGCAGCAGCGGAGCAAGCTGCAGCTACATCGGAAGTTTACGTAAGAAAAAGTCGATAATCACACGATCTTTACGCAGGTCATCAGCACCGAATTGTACGGGAACGGTTTCGTCTAATGGAACAATCTATGGCAGCTGTCGGACCGCTAAATATCCACCATCTACAGCCATCGAGCACACGGTTCATTCCAACGCTGCTGCAGCATCAATGTACAATAGCTGCACCGTCAAAATAAAACACGAGAAGAGCCCCGATTCCATTCAGAAGAGCCTGAAATTTGCTCTATGGAATCGGCGAAGTTGAGGTAAATCAACACTCTCGTTGCTTGCCAATCAACTCACCTAATCTGACCACGAATAGCACAGTAAGATATTGTCTGCTGACATACCAAAGGATTATTAACAAGGTAATTATTAGATTCAATTGCGTTTTTATTCATTAAATAAAATCTCATTTCATGTTTCATGTTTCCATTTTAATCCATTAACTGCATTACATTTTGATTTAGTGGCTTTGCTTTAATTGCTGTTTATTTTATTTTCCGTTTCAGACTGTGCTGCAATTCTTTTTATTTAAACGGTTCAAACTTTTTGAATAACAAAGCATCTGAACATTGTACATTTAAACAGTAATTGTTAAGTAAATAGCAAAAAAAGTCTATGTTTAAATGTGCAACACTTAACGTAAGCTTAGCGATAAAATTCAGTCGCCAAATGTGTATTCAATGTTAATTATTGTGCATCTGTGTTTAAACAAAACACATATTTCCGCTTTCGTTATTGTGATGTTTCAGAACAAACAGGAAACAAATATTTATCTCATACAGGTTTAGAAAAAAAAAACATTTAATTCCAATTGCATTTGTTTTGAAGCAGCGTTTCGACATAATACACTATCGTTTTAAAGGAATTTTAAATTTCAAACTAACCGTCTCGCCTTTCGTCGTATAGTTTAAAAAATGCCAAATTCAAATTTCTTTAAAAAAAACAAGAATGAAAAAAAACTGTTAACGTTCTATTTTTTGGAGGCATCAACAAAGTTGATGCTGTAAATATATGTTTATCTAATATGTTTTCATTTATTCTTATTTTTCATTCATTTAATAAAATGCGCAGTAGTAATAACAAAACTTAAATGCCAATAAACATGTGAAATTTGACTAAAAAAGTAAAAAAAATCACTTCAAACTGGCACAGCGCACAAATTTTCAATTTGATCGAATTTTTAATGTACCGTTAGATCATATTATCGTTAGATTTAATTCCACACAAACTGCACGTATTTCAAATCAAATTAATGCATTTTCCATACTTTTAATAACCATTTTTAATTTGGATTGAATACAAACGCAAGAGCAAAAAATATTTTGTTCTTTTGTAAACAAAGCCGTCACAAATCACAGACAAAATCACATTTAATATATTTTATAGTTTTAACCGAATTTTAACAATAATTTACTCATAAGCATATAATCGATAAGAGCAACATAATCCGTTAGCAAAATTCGGTTTAAAGAAAAAACTCTTTCTTTTCTCAAAAACGATGGGAGAACAAACATTTTATTGTGTAATTAAAATGGATTAAAAATGTTTCGGGCTGTGATACCTAATTAAAAATTGATGATAAACGTATAAATTGTACAGTAACGTAAAGTAAAGTATTTAATGAGCTAGAATTTATGTTTGAAGAGAAAAGAGAAAATGAAAGGATGGATACACGAGAATAAAGTCTAGACTGGTGACAAAATGATGTCCATTTTAATTGTTAATCGCCGAATTTACGAAACAAATTTCCATGACATTTAATGGTAAATTGATACTCAATGGAGAGTCAATTATACAAATTCAATACAATAACCAGCGTTTCGAAATGTTTGATTAGTTTAACCGAATACAATTTCTATTCGTCATTGATTTTTTTTTTTTCAATATTTCAATTTTGTTCATCATCATTAACGTAATATGAAATCAAATCCGAATACACATGTATACAGGAAAATAAAACTCAAGACCGAATTACAAAAATCGATCGATAAACATCAATATATGATACAAACACTCTCACACAAATATAATTACAATGTATAATGTATTGAAACTGTTAAGTATATCGTCAGAGCGACAAACGATAAAATATAATTACATGAACGTTTGAAGATAAAAAAAAAAGAAATGATGGAACATACAAAAATTATTATTCACCCGACTAAATAGAACATTATTATATAGATGGATAATTATAAAAGTAATTAAAAGAAATGAATCAATCAAACATACAATCGAAATCGAACAAAGCGATACAGACTCATTTGATACTGTACAAATACATACAACACCGACATAAATGCATTTCAATTAAATAATAGCAACCGAAATAGCAACGGAAAATACGGTAAACGGTTTATTCGATAATAAGAGATATAATATGAGAATAAATTCCAGCGCATATAGCAACATCCCCTAAACAAACACACATACACATACACACATCAATCGTAGTGTCACAATTTACAATTAAACAAAAGAAAAATGCCACAACAACAAGAGAAAAAAGTTCATCAAATTCACACCGCAGAGCAAAATGACATGTAACAATTACTAACATGGGCAAAGTCAATTTACACTTAAATACCGAACGTAACACATTTACACCGATAAAACCACAAATCTAATTTAATATTCTTAATATAAATGGAAAAATTGAAAATCGAAAAAATAAAAAAATATAAAACAATAAATTGGCACAGCATTTTTCTTTTTACATTTTTATGAAAGGTTATTATTGCAGTCATGAAAAATATGTGAGTATCGAAATTTTTACTGCTGAATTTTAATTGGTTTTTTTTTACATTTTTTTTTTGTTTGCTCGTCATGCATCGACGCATGACACATTTATAATGGAAAAAAATGTCTTTTTTTCTTGAATAAAAAGAGGGAAAAAAAATTTGATACCATTTCCTGTAGCACGAACAATATGTTATCTATGTGAATGATAAATTGATAAGGACAGCATCGAGGGGCAAATGAATTGAACATGAAGACTCTTGTTCGGTGAATTGGATCGCGTGGCCATCAAAAGTGATGTATTGTCATCAGATCGCAACTAGCATTAAATGACGAAATTGCTGAAAATCATTCATGTTTGTTATGTACACATGCACAACAATAATCATTGTGCCAATGTGTCAAATGCAATACAAAAGCCCAAAATGGGAAGTGGACAATGCTACGCATTACAGCACATATAGCATGTATGTTGCTTCCTCGCCTTACCTTACTTCACCCCCCATATCGATTGGCAAATTATTATTGAGCATTTTCATTGTGTTTTCCATCGTCATTCAGTCTAACACATATAGTGAGAACATTGTCACTTCCACTGGTGATAATAACAACAAGAGACTTTATAAATGGCACCGGAATTTGATAACAAATACTGAAAATGATTTAACATCCGTTTAAATTTCCCTTCCATTCAATACATATAGAAAATGGAACGGAATTCAATTCTACTCGCTTCAAATTGTTATTATCACTCTTGTTTTCGTTTGTTGTTAAACCAGTGCCCCGACAATATTATAGCTCAAAAATTGTAGATACACTGAGGCAGGACCACGTTAGGATGCATTACTTAAGGTAAGTAATTTGCAACAGAGGACTATGTCTCATTAACAATAATTTTTCAATTATGCTGGCATTTCATGGAGTTGGAAGACTACGGAAATTATCCATCAGAAGTAAGTTTCTACTATGGTCTCTATATCAATCTATAGTCAACTTAATATCATCAGTTGTGCAACTTGTGACAGGCACTTCTGATTATCGCTGTTTTATTTGGCGAGTGTGAAAAATGAAAAGTTTTTGTTTTCTTAACACTTTTGGAATTTTTCTTAGTTTAAAGTAAAATATTCTATAAATGGACCGAAATGCCTTTTCTTTATAGAAGCGGAAGAGAGCACTTTGAAAATTTAGCGTGTCTACTGTATATCCAATTAGAAAGCGAAAATGAGAAAAATATAGATGAATGTATATGAAAATGGATACAGAAAAGTACAAAGAAAATCCTACAAAGAATGAATGCACATAAAGAAAACTTGCACTGCTTTGGTTTTGTCTTCCAACTGTCTAAGTGAATGCAATTGAACTGAAAGTTTGCAAACTTGCCTGAATAAGACAAGCGCCAATTTGAATCATATCACAAATAAAACACTACAGATGTCTGCAACTATGGACGAAGAAGAAAAACGCAAGAAAAAATATTTCGAAGCACTTTCCTTTCTGCATATTTTGCTATTTTATTTGATGGCAACTCTTGCACGAGCTGGGAGCGAATAAGGTTAACCGGGGATTTATATTTGAGAAAAGGATCCATGTATAGTTGCAAAATGAAAATCAAAATGAAACTTTTGAAAAACTTGTCGAAAAATACTGATTTCAACACTTTTCCCCAATTCGCTTTTTTTTACAACCCAATGTGTATGTATGCATGTGTGTGTGTGTGTTTGGGTTTTTGCTGAGGCCTGATGACTAAGAGAACTGTCTGATGCTTAGCACTTTTATACTTCTTTGGCATTGTTCACGTTCTCAATGCCAAATGAGTTTTCATGATTTGTGCCCCGTCGAAGTAAGTATGATTGCAATGCAGCAAAAACTTTCATTTATTTAGATAAAAATGATTGCTTCATATATTTTTACACACACGCAGCAGAATATGACCCACATTCCAAATCACTAAAAAAAATCTTTTGAAATAAACAAGATTGGCCCAATTTCCCTATTTACTTTTAGACTATTTCTGACTTGAACTTCTCTGATTCATCCAAACTGGAAACATATTTTTTTGGCAAACTTTTGAGGTGAAAAATTGATCGAGAAGAACTTTTTGATTGAATAGCATAACATTCATTTTTTTTTTTTACTTTTTTCTTACGCCAAAACAAAAACACACACTCTTTCGAAATGTGATAAATTCGATTTTAATTGAAGGCACACATGTTAACTTTGGTTATGAATTATTATCGTTCATTTGAATTATATAATTATCGATTTGAAACTGCTAAAAAACGTGGATGGACTGAATTTGAACGAGGTAAACAAACAAAACGAATCGAATCAAACAGTTGAAAAAACAAACGCTGAAGAAATAACGAAATGTTGAAATCGATGTTAAACATCTCATTACTCTGCTGTTATATAAAAACAAAGTGCTATGGCAGATGTGTATAGGTCAATGAATTTAACTCAAATTATTGAGTCCAACACTTGTTCCGAAGCGCATTAGAAATAATATGAAAATACGCCTTGGGTTAAGCACTACCCAATACTTGATTATGAAGATGATGAATCCGTTTAATCACATTTAATACATAGAAATAAGTTGAATGGAGAAAACACATTTCGAGTCTCACAAGTGAATGAGCAATATTAATTTTAGCAAAATTCCAACCTAAAGCCACTTCAGCGCATTAGTATGGAGCGTAGCCGTAAACGATAATAATCAGAATATCAAAACAAATGAAAAACAAACATTAAACGACAAGTTCAAGCAAACTGAATGACAAAAATATGAAATTGTGTCTCAAGAGTCATCACGGTGAACTGTGCGCTCATCAGAGAACGCTAAATTAAGAAAGTTTTTTTGCTCTTTCTGCTTTCGATGCGTAAGCATTTCAATTTGTATTCAGCATGGTATGATTACTTCTCTTCAAGTTAAAACTTTTTCGTCGTTTTGTATTTCCATGTATGTTTTCCCGCATTGAATGCATGTCGCTCCCTCGACATATATAACAAATGTTACAAAATGTTTCAATACTCATGGCATCTTCATGCTACAAGACAACGTCTTAATTTTAAAACATCATATAAAAATGGAACCAGTTAGTGGCAGTTGATTAAGAAAGTGAAAGGAAGAAATAAAAAAAAAAAACAAACCAAAATTTCAAGAAAAGTTAAATTGGCATTTCGCGAGCATGAAAAAAAGAACTTCAAGTAGTGTTTAGGCTGAATTTGTATAAGATTACTGAACATCGAAGATTGGAAAAAATGCTGAAACATTCTGTTGACTTGTTCAAAGAAGATCTTATTCAGCTGAAATCCAACCATGTAAAAACTTTTTTGTTACATAAGATGGAAAAAATGAAGCATTAACGAACCAAAAAGGACGCAAACGTACCACTTTATATATGAAAATATTCTGAGGACTTGTTAGTTCTTATTGGAAAAAATTATGTATTACATAAAAATTATTATGTAAAAAAAAACTTTTTTATGTGCACAAAATTATCTTAATTATGACACACACTTGAATTTGTTCAGAAGATTCACAGATAATTTATATTTTATTGCAACTAATTTTATTTTTCCATCGGAAAATATGTTGATTGAATGTGTTTGTGAAGCGATTTTAAAATTTCAGAATGAAAATTTGAAACAAAAATGAATTTGATACTTGAAATCGAATTTTTCTACTTTTAATTTGATCAACACTAGCTGCGTCAAGTAGCAAATTGAATTTGAAATTTATTTACATTTTACGCCTTCAAACAAATTACGCAAATTACAAATGGTTTTTGATATACAAATTCTTTCATCCAACTCTTTCCTTATTTAGCAAAGGTAAATAAACCCCTTTTAGACATATTCGCATCACATTACTTCATTTGATAATAAAGAGAATTTACCGTACCGCATTCTCAACATACAAATGAAGTGAAACGAAAAACAGTAATAACTCTTTGCTTTGAATAATATAGCTGAATTTCACGTTGGCAATTATACAAAAAATCTCATGAGACTTCTAAACAGAATAATCTGTCGATTTTTTGGTGGAAATGAAATGGATTTGATATCGTGGGCGTTGTTCACAAGATACAGAGTGTAACTGCCAAAAGTGAACTCAGGTGAAATCGTCTGAATATTCCAATATAAAATATACTCTACAATTTAACCGGTTTTCGTTAACAAATGAGACTTGCAATTTGTGAATTTTATCTGTTCAAGCATTAGTTGCTAAGCGAATAACAGTCTTTATAAATAAATGTGTGTCTGCGTGTGCGATCAATGATGCACAAGCACATTACCAAGCTACCAAGCTACCACTCACTAGTAACAAGTTCAAGCCGATGCATTGGCTCCTTATTTTCTTCAATTTGCTCTATCGTCGTCTGGAT